CTTTCCTAATATTTTTGCGCGGAAAATTATTTAAATTTGCTGCACTTCCAATGGTCAATTTCGCGACCAACCATTACGTTTAACAGAAATTCTGTCGAATAGATACTTCTTCAACTGAACAGGCACCTTTGCACCTGATGAACTCAACTCTGTTGGCTGTAAATAGAGAGGCTCAGCCTCATTTTTCACCATCGAAAAATCTGAAAATCTCTCCCCTCTATCTTCTGCATTATTTTTCCAAAGAAAAAACGTAAGCATTTTGTGTGATTTACTCCGCCATTTGAGTTTGCCGAAGTTATGTGATTTGAAGTGCCGCTATCATATAATAGTTATTCCGTTCTATCCTGGGAGGAATTAATCCGTAACCTTGGGCAACTGTGAGGGGATTAAATTCCTTAAGGACACACAAGGAAATTGTGGGCACGGAATTTTTCTGTTTTGTTTTCTTAAACTAACGATTTTCTAGTTTTCTGGTTTTGACTACAGAGTGTTAACAAACAACAACAACAATAACATACCCGGTATATTCTCAACAGGTGGGGTATGAGCAGTGGCGAAGTTAGGAATTTTCCCAAGGGTGTTCAAATTTAAAAAAAGTAAGAAAAATTCCCAACAAAGGGTATTAAATACGTGTTATATACCTCTAAAACGTAATATTTTACCTATGTACACATTGTAATTTTTCGACGAAGGGTGATCAATTGACCACTATTATGACCATGTGGCTTCGCCACTGGGTTTGGGAAGGATAGTCTGTACGCAAATTTTATCCCTACCTCATGAAGATATAAATATTGTTTTCAATAGACCCTCGCTTCGAAAAAGGTGAGAAGAACTTTTTTTTTTGAATGAAAACGCATGATAATTTTCTATAACGTGAATCCGAATTAATCGAACCGATAAATTTCGAATAGAGAATCATATGGAGTTGTTGGTCCACTTGCAACATTGGGTACAACTAATTAAACAAAACACCTTTCCACCTTGAAGGTCACATGCACAAATCTGCAGCTTGGCCACTCATTTTTGGCCTTACCTATCTCCAAACACATCAAGATTTTTTCTTCCATTTATTATCTGTCTTTGAATTTGAAATTAAAAAGAACGAGGTCCTTTTCAACTAAATTAGCTAGAAATGTCATAGATTTATTGCATTGCCATGTGCCAACGAATTTTTCTAGTGAGGATATACTTTGGGTTCTTTGTAATGCCTTTGTCAACCTCTTTGGAATATTGACTTTACTTTAAATTTTAGATGGAATAAATTTAATTGCACTCGAGGTTGATCGTGTTGAATCAATGAATATAATCCACTTGAAATAATTTTGTGACTCTGCATGACGCGAGATATTTGCATCGGACTGCCCTTGTGCTTATGGATGTCCTTAATATGTCAAAGTTTATTTACACATCATTGGTCTAAATCAAAAGTATTTGCAAGTGATGTATTTTATCGCGAATTAGTGTGACAAGAATTCAAAATTTTAATTTTATGGGTTTAAGGCTCAGGTTCCAATCATTGAACCCATCACATTGTTTGAGTTATGAATTCATAGTTCAACAATTTTAGCAATTTCAACAAATTTTACACAAATAAATCCAGATTTAGGCTAAAAATAATAAATTCAATTAGAACCGATGTACCTATATATCTAGTCTGATTATTCACGAGAATTTTAGCACAAATTACTATTATCTTTAAATATTTGACTGCCAAAAATTGTAAGGCTTGCTTGAGCAAGATTGTAAAAAGAAATTAGCTGTGAGGGATCCCCTTAGAATATGCCCACAACTTCCAATGAATATATTATTTTATCATTCTTTCACTTTCAATCACGACAATGAAATTAGCCATAGATCCAAAAATTCCGCATACAAAGGACAATAAATTAATATAAGAATAGGATGAATATATGAATACACACACTGTTTATATCTTCCATTATATCCGGGAGAAATTCAAAAATAGCCGGATTTACAAGCGGTCAGTCAAAAATAGCCACAATTCACTTTTCATGTAAAGATAAATCTGAACGAAAACACTGCTCAAAATCGAAAAATACTCCATCATAATATACTGGAATTTTAGTATAATATTAAAACTCCAGTATATTATACTGGAGTTTGGAGATGCCTTTACTAAAGAATTCTCGCCATCTCAGATAAAATCTCGTGTGGAGCCCAGGCTAGCCAACAATGAGAAATGCCTTCCTCTTTTTTGTTGATTTAGGTGACGTAGTCTTATCCGATGAATGACAGTGAGAAGGCGGAAAAGGTCGTAAAAGGCTAAGTTAAGGTATACCGGTCCAGCATAATATGATGGAAGTTCATACACAGGTGCACCGAACTTTCAAGGCTTGATCTACGACTATCCCCGGGGTTTGGTAGAATAGACATTGCCACGAATAGCCTACACGTGCAAATCCAAACGAACAAATTATTGAATTGAGTCGTTTCATTCTCTATGGGGTTATTAATTATTTTATTCAACGTGAAATTAATATCTTCATTTATTATACTATTATCATAGAATGACGAGCGTATATATCTTTAAATTCTTTGTATTTAGGCATCTTGATTCCATCTACTCTCACTTCAAATGTTCAATCTTCTTATGCTAGCTATATTTGTAACATTCCATACTTCAAAAAACACATATTTTATACACTTTTCGACTAGCGAATGAAATTAGTTTCGGCCGATCAAGTAGTTATGTATTTTGCCCATTCAAATAGTCATTTATTAATGTTTAATCTAAGAATATATTGAGTCTTTCACAAGTCTAGCGTTCAAATGAGTCAAATGTCGATCTAGTAAACTATACTCCAAATTGAATATTTTGTCCAAAACGACCTTAGATCAACAATTTCAAAAGCAAAGAAGCAAATCCTTCAAACATTAATAATGTAAACCATAAATCACGCCACATATAATGAAACAAATAACACCAACAAATCTTTACTTTTATTACAAGTCTTCAAATATTACAACATAAAGAAACAACTAACCCTACATACACCAACATCACATTTTCTCATTTTTCCTTCCTTCATTAAGCAAGGAGGCGGATCTAGGACGTGTTCGTAAACATAATTCAACTATATAAAAATACGAAAAAACACGAAAATATATACTCGTATATTAATAATAAGATCACGCTCATCCTGAAAAAACGAACCTTACATTTTTTTGAAAGAAGTAAGCTTCTTAACTTTCTCCCAAGGCTTATCCCAAACAACTGCTAAATATTTATGAACAGAACCGCCGTCCTTGGCGTTTATAACAAGTCGATAATTTGTGCCGGCAACGACTTGAGTTTCTCCTTTCGTGATGCTTTGAAATTCCAACTTTGTCCCTGCCGCTTTATTGTGCTCATTCACCGCAAACTGCCCGATCGCCACCACATCAGGGTCATTTACGTCAGTTAAAGGCTTCCAACCACCGGCTGCGCCGCCTAACGCGGCGGAGATTTGGAAGAAAAAGGAAGAAATTAACAAGATTGAGAGAGTCACGGAGAAAACAGAGGTCAATTTGATGGTCATTTTTTCTTTTTCTTTTTGTATTGTGAGGATTTTTGAGAATGAAAATACTGAGGAAAATGGTTATTTAAAGGGTTTAATGGGTGCACTTATTTAAAGGAATTAGGTGGTAGGTACCGACAGTTGTCATGTGACTTAATTTCTAAGATTTGCAATTTCACTTTCACGAAAGTTCTAAATTCGTGTTAACGGACAGGGACGGAGCTAGGTGTACGGAAGAGGTTCAGCGGAATTGTGTGTATATCAAGTTAAAATTTTCTTTTCATATATATGATTAGATATTAAATTTTCTTAATTTATTCATGTATTTACTACTTTACTGCTTCTATCACTGGTTACGGGAATTGCGACTCTCAAAAATCGGCACAAATCACATTTATTAACGGTAGTACTTGCTGCGACCTTAAAGTCACTAATTGTTTTCGGTGGCGAACTTTGGGGCTTTTGCGTAGGGGTGCGCGTCCGATTTATCGATTCGATTTTGACCCTTATCGATAATTATTGATCGATTATCGATTTGTACATATGCTTATCGTTATCGCTTCAATAAGGTTTCGATTTTTTGGATTTCGATTTATCGATTTTTGGGGCTTATCGATTACACCAATAAGAAAATTTGCCGGATTCCACGGAAAGTATATCGCTATAAACACGGCTAACTAATATGGGCCAAAAGAAGTTAAAATAAGACGAACACCGTTTATAACATAAAAATTGTGTCAACAAGCACATGCAACGAAACTAAAGTAAGGGATCAAATGTATGCCACCAACACTCCAACGGTATAAAAAAACATAAAAATACATCATCACGGCTAATTCTATTTTCCATTAATTTGAACTTCATTCCCTTGAGCTTTAAATATGATCATTCCTTAAATATGGTAGATGAAACAATAGGGTTAGGGACTTAGGGTAAAGGAAAGTGCATTATAGAATAAGGGTAAATTTATTTATTATTATTATTATTATTTTTTTTTGTATTTCTTATCGGTTCATCGATAAACCGATAATCGAAGAGGACAAAATCGAAATCGAAATCGATAGCTCGATAAAGAAATTTCGAAATCGAAATCGATAAACCGATAACAAATAATCGATTCGATTTATCGATAAACCGATTCGAATGCACACCCCTACTTTTGCGGTGCCACAAAAAGGCCGATTACTTAACTTCTCTTTCTACCCTTTTTTTCTTCTATCGTGGAACATAAGTTACTAATTAAAGCTCTTTTTTGGTTGGAATTAGCAATCGCTTATATAAAAGATCTGAATTCAGCATTCTCAAATTAAAAATAATGCAATTGAAATATATGTTGTATCGTTTAAAAGTTGAACAAAATAAAATATCCACATATACTTTGAAGACCATTTATGGGATTCTTCAAAAAAGAAAAAGAAAAACCCATAACTAATATTGCCAACAGAATAAACAATACGAAGCAAAACATTAAATTTGAGCTATTTCATTCTTTAATAATGGGTATTAGATGCTTATAACACTTAATTGTTACGCAAACTTTCAAAAGAAATGAGTTTTCTAACATTGTCCTTAGAATTTTTAAAAACAACCGCTATATCCTCATCGGCGAAATCTTCGTCCGTGGCAGCAATAAACAATTGATAAGTAATGCCAGTAGCAGCTACTTGAAATTTTCCCTTCAACACCTTCTTAAGCTTCAAGTCCGAACCTTCTATTTTATCGTTGTACGCTTTTATTGCAAAATTTGCAATGTCTATCACTTTAGGATCATTTAGATCTTTTATGGATTGCCAATCATCTGCTGATGGGGACGGAACTAAAGTATTCGATGTGCGAGCCGAAACATAGGAGAAGGTGGAAGCAACCACTACAATTGAGAGAGTCACAAAAAGAAAAGAATTGAATTTGAAAGCCATTTTTCTTTTAAGAAGAATTTGCTAGCGGAGTGCTTAACACTAATGGTGATAGACTTATATATAGGAGAATTTGAAAGCAAGCATAGGCAAAAATAGGTAAGATGATAAGTTTATTACTTTAGAGGTGATTAGATTACGTTGTGTTTATGATTCGAAATAAATTAGCTGCCTAATTAGTTAAGGAAAAATGATTAGTTTTAAGTAGTGATTTTACAATTTTACTATTTAAGAAAGTGCTGCAATTGCAATAAATATTTTTCTATTTCATTTGAATTGACATTATTGCATGAATCCTAATTAACTTTGCCATATTTTTTAATTACTAGTATCTATGAACGTGTGTTGCACGTTAATAATGACATGTGATATTTAATATTTATTTATATGAAGGAACAAAAAAATTAATTAATGAGAGAAATTTCATGTAGAATAATACAACAATCATTTAAATATCGAAAAATATTATTACATTAGCATAACATGAATTTAAAATAAAAGGACTTCATCAAAACTTACACAAATGATCAATTTTGTCATGTTAGTTATATAATTATCTATTATAGTTTAAAAGTATTTAATGTGATGGTATCTTAATGAACACTTCTTTGTGGACAATATTTTTTGTGTGTATGTTTCCTCCTAATGCTTTGGTTGCTTTGCCTTAACCAAAACTCTTATTGTCGATCTCGATATCCCTCTTGAAAGTGCAATATACAATTGTTCATGCAAGAAAATATATTGCGGTAATAATAGTTCAATATTTAGGATAATTGTCCTTGTGCTTATTTGTTATATTTGCAAAACATAAACATACTAAAAAATATTTTCACAAAAATTTAAAAGGATATTCCTTAGTTTCAGAAGATGAAAGTTGAATTCAGGGATAAGAATATACTTAAAAGCACATTGACCAGTATCAAAATTTTTGCATGTATGACGTTTTTGTCAAAACTTCTATACACCATCTGTGTACTATTACATAAGCTATTCGGTGTATCTAGTTTTTTAGTAGCACAATGGAAAAATTAGCCTATATACAATGGAAGATCAATTTTAATTTAGTCTATTATATATACGGTGACACTAACATACGTAAGAAATAATAAACTTGACAACAAACATGTATGGTAGAAGGCCATTTGGTATTAAAGTATTTAAGTATTCTTCTTGGTAGTAATTATTGGTATCATTTTCTGTTGAGTCAAAAACTGAAAAATATTTTGCAATCAATCTTTTATTTAGTTTATCAACATATTCATTTCTGCTAGCTAAGATATCTTTTTAATTCTATTATGCGATTTCACAAATTGCGTTTTAATCTAATGATATAAATATTTCTCTTATTAAATGCACTACTATTACCATTGGGATTGAAATCAAGTGTTCAGGAAAAATCAAATCATCTTTTATTGGATGCTCTTCTTCGTTTCTGACACGAAGCAAGAAGATACTGAATATTGGATCTGTTCTTACTTTATATTTCTTATCAGTTGAATCTTTTTAATTTGAGGCAGAAGTATAACTTTGGCAAGCTAACTTTTACAGTCACTGCTTTTGTCGATTTTGGAACTACTGGTAGTACTTAATAGAAATCACCTCCCAAACCATTAATTTTCCACCAAACAATTCATTAATAAGAGCTCCGGATAATTATTTCAATCGTTTGATACTTTGCCATAAGTGCTTCATCCCATATTAATAATTTTGCTTTCCTTATAAATTTAGCACCATTGTTCTGCTTTGATATATTTGTGATGGTTATTTAAGTTGTTTGAAGAGGTATATCAAATCTAAAGTGGGTGGCTTCACAATAAAATCGTTGTTGGTATACCACTTGCTATTATTGCTAACAGTATCATGCCTCTTGATATGATATTTGCAAGTAATGCATGACATAAAAATATTATTACGATTCCGTCGGAGGCATCTATAAAGAATACTCCGTTATACCAGAGTCGACTCTTTATAATATAGTCTTGAAAGCTTGTTCTTGATTAGGATTTAACTTTGATTGTGCTTCCTCAGTCACTTGTATAGCACTTTGATTCTGAATAATATACTAACCTTTTTACTTTGTGTTCTAATATTTTTTTTGTGGAATAAATTTAGGTATCATAAGATTTTTTTAAACTTGAATAAGAATTTCACTCGTACGATGAATTAAAAATCAATTGAATTGGATTCTCTTTGCTAAATAATTAATTGACAGATTTAATTATTTAGTTTTAACATAAAAAAATAATTTATTCAATGTTGATTCAAATCTTAATATTAGTTCATCTCTTGTTTTGAATATTTATTCTTAATTATAATTTTATCCACTATAAATTTTATTTTTAAAGAGTAAAAGATTGATATGACTTTCACTTTTAGATCTTTATGTTTGTAGAATCATTAGCAGTATTGACTCTAACCAACCATTTTTTTCTCTTTCTCACATATTTATATTCTTAAATATTTTCTTAATTATTGTTTAATAATTAGGTATTATTCAATATTACACGAAAAATGATTAAAAAATATTATCTAAGTAGGAAAATAGTTTAAATATAATATAAAAATATCTTATCGTGGGGATATTTTTTTTCTCAATTTGTCACGACCCAAAATCCACTAGTCGTGATGGACACCTGACCCAACCCGCTAGGTAAGCCAACTAATTAATAACTATCCAATTCCATCAGTATTAAATAAACAATTAAACATAGGAGTTATCTGAATCTTATACAATTCCCAAGGACTGATAGTACAAATCATAAGCTTCTAAGAATAGAGTTTACAAATCAACTCCGAACTTACCAAAATTCGATTCCGACCATGCGTACAAGTAAAAATACTTAAAGTGAAGCTGCTCATGGCCTCAAACTGCCGAACGACGCGCTAGAGCTCAAAACGACCGATTGGGTCGTTACATTATGCATTTACTTTCCTGCTTCTATCACTGATTACGGGAATTGCGACTCTCAATAGTCGCCACAAATAACATTTAGTAACGATAGTACTTGGAGCGACCTTAAAGTCGCTACTAATTATTTTTAGTGGCGACTTTGGGGCTTTTGCGGCGATATATGTCGCCACGAAAAGGCTGATTACTTATATAAAAGATCTGAATTCAGCATTGTCAAATTAAAAGTAATGCAATTGAAATATATGTTGTATCGTTTAAAAGTTGAACAAGATAAAATGTCCACCTATACTTTGAAGACCATTTATGGGATTCTTCAAAAAAGAAAAAGAAAAACCCATAGCTAATATTGCCAACAGAATAAACAATACTAAACAAAACATTAAATTTGAGCTATTTCATTCTTTAATAATGGGTATTAGGTGCTTATAACACTTAGTTGTTACGCAAACTTTCAAAAGAAATGAGTTTTCTAACATTGTCCTTAGAATTTTCAAAAACAACCGCTATATCCTCATCGGTGAAATCTTCGTCCGTTGCAGCAATAAACAATTGATAAGTAATGCCAGTAGTAGCTACTTGAAATTTTCCCTTCAACACCTTCTTAAGCTTCAAGTCAGAACCTTCTATTTTATCGTTGTACGCTTTTATTGCAAAATTTGCAATGTCTATCACTTTAGGATCATTTAGATCTTTTATGGGTTGCCAATCATCTGCTGATGGGGACGGAGCTAGAGTATTCGGTATGCGAGCCGAAACATAGGAGAAGGTGGAAGCAACCACTACAATTGAGAGAGTCACAAAAAGAAAAGAATTGAATTTGAAAGCCATTTTTCTTTTAGGAAGAATAATTTGCAAGTGGGGTGCTTAACACTTATTGGTGATGGACTTATTTATAGGAGAATTTGAAAGCAAGCATAGGCAAAAATAGGTAAGGTGATAAGTTTATTACTTTAGAGGTGATTAGATTACATTGTGTATATGATTCGAAATAAATTAGCTACCTAATTAGTCTAGGAAAAAATGATTTGTTTTAAGTAGTAATTTTAAAATAATTACAATTTTACTACTTAAGGAAGATTTGCTGCAATTCTAATAAATATTTTTCCATTTCATTTGAATTGACATTATTGCATGAATCCTAATTAACATTGCCATATTTTTTAATTATAAAAAGCCACTGTATTGGTGGTAAAACGACATTACACGTGGAATATTGGAATGCTGACATAACATAACACGTGGAATAGTGATATAGCGACAAGTAGCATTCTCAATTGATAGAATTAATTGAGAAAAGAAGACACGGGGAGAAACACCCACGAGGCGGTACGGAGAAGAGAACCGGGCCTAACAATTGACAAAGAAGAGACGAGACCGAAATGAATAAAGAACAAAAAGAAGGAAATATACATGAACCGGAAGTAAATAAGGAAGGAGAATCGGAATAGATATAGGGTATTTATAGCTATAAATACGCCAGTTATAGATTTTCGAGATAATAAGTAATCAATATCACTAAGGCGCATAATAAACTCAAATTATGTGAGAAAATCGTTACAATTGTACATTCCTGTATAAGGACACAAAATTTTATTTGTAAAGACAGATCAAAAGTACTATTGAAATATATTCTTTATTTTCTGCTTTCTCGAAATTCTCTGTCATGATTTTACAATTTGACCATCAATTAGTTCCTTTGCCATTCTTATTATTTTCCTTAAATATCTTTGTGGAAGTGAAGTAAAACTTGGTTATCAGTAACCCATTTTCTTCTAAATTTAAATTTTGATCATGAAACATATTTTTTGGTTAAACAAATTGGTTCCGTTACCGAGAATCTGATAATCTTTTCACTTTCCAAATTCTCTTTCTGACAACCAATCATGTTAACTATCAACAAAAATAACCAGCTAAATCCACAGGAGGGAGGAACTCCACCAATCCCTTCACCACAAGAAGCTCCTCGACAGTCCTGAGAGGACACCTGAAAGATCAACATCACACATGAATGATCATCAAGGGGACGAGCACACTGCCGAACAAGACGCTTTAAAACAATTAATCGCAGAACACGTGAACAACGCTCTTCAAGCCTTTGTTAAGGGATTGCCAACTGTGCCA